GGGGGGAATTTCATGTGTTGGTCACCTTTCTGTCCCCCTCGCTGCGATGGAGACCAGGATACTCCCCATATACAGCCCTATAGCAGCTCCTACACTCCACAAAATCTCCTGAAAGCCAGAGGGAAAGGGCAGGCTGATAAAAAAGCCTTATCTCTCTGCAGGCATCATGGCACTGGGCAGGAAGGAGCCTTTTCTGAAGCAGCTGTGGGCTGGGCAGGGCTCCCGCAGCACAGTCATGGTGCTGGTTCAAAGCAATGGCACGGGAGAACAAGCCCGTAAAGCCAACGGACCGGCCCCAAGATGACAGTGAGATCATTTTATCAGATCTTTATTTTTAAAAAACAACGAGCATGCACATGTTACAAAACAAAAAAAATCCCTGCAAAGCTGGGCCTGACACAGCTCCACGGAGGCCCAGTACTGGCGCACAAAAGATGCATCCCAAAATGGAAATGCTCTGTGCCCCAGCGCTGATGCCGGCATTAATACAATTCAAAGCATTCCTGATTAACCAGAAGTAGTAAATAGACGTGTGCTGGTCCTATTCAGCAAAAAAATAAAACCAAACAGAACTTGTGCTTTCAAATGCCTGCCTGTGCTCCCCTTCGAGGAATGCGGAGCCTTTGCCGTCCACAGAAGAGAAGGTATTTGGCAATTCTAATTACCTAGCCACCCCGGTGCCGCTTCAATTTAATTTTAAAACACTATTTATACGGACTATTTATATATTCTTTGCCACAGCAAAACGGGAGCTTGTGCTTGTGACACAAGGCACTGTTCGCATCGGCTCTGCAAACTTCCAAAAGGTAGCACTTTATCCCACGGGGACCACACACGGAGCTTGCAGACTATACGAGATGGCATGTGACACGGCCAGCTATTCAGAGCTTGGTACTGGGCTGTGAAACCAGGGGGAAATTCAAATATGCATAATTCAAACACATTTGGAGAGACAGAGAGAAAATAAAAAGTTTTATCAACTCGCGAGAAGCTCGCGTTGCCAATCATGAAGAACTGTCTCCAACCACTTCTTCCAACCAACCTGTTATTTCAATCTGTGTAATTATTTCCAGGGTCCCTGGCTTTTATTATCATGTATCTGGCTGAGTTACAGTTCTGGAGATGTTGTCTGATAAGAGGGTGTTTTTTTTAAAAAACTTCATACAAAGAGAAGAAGGGTGTGTGCAGGATGAGCATCGGGAATGTCCATGCACAGGACAAACTCGGGTTAAAACTGCTGGGACAAAACTTGCTTTCAGCTTAACTGGAGAGCCAGAAAAAACTTCATTTGGCCCTATACATTTTAATAAACACCAATACCGGATGTCTTTAATTATTAAAAGAAAAAAAAAAGGGATTTTAAAAGTCCAATGCATTTTTTACTCTCTATGCTCTACTTCTCATATTTACATAGGTTGACAGGAAACCAGACCTGCTGGCTTTGTTCTGGCTGTAATTTCAGGCTGCATTTCCCTTTCAAGAAAGCATTTTAGCAAAGTAAAGTCTTACTGAGTTTTTTGCTCAATAAAAGGCTTTCCTGAGCATGGATAATAGCAATGTTCACAAATGTTAGTGGCTAGAACAAGACTATCTTGGCTCTCAGGTGCTGGTAGTTCAGCGTTATTTAGTAAGTGCACACTGCAGTGTGTTTACCTGGAAAAGGAAAGAATGTGTTTTAGTTGGGACCCTTTTATTTTAATAAGCCCTGAAAATACCTCTATTCAAGCTGTAAAAAAAGGTTATTTTTACAATTTTAGGTCAAATGCAATCTGACAGCTTCTCTTTTATTATACTACATTTCTTACAGTTGCCTCAGCTCTTACAACTACTTTGCTTATCTGTGCCACTACAGTAGTTCTGTTATCTCTGGCAAACAGAAGAGTCTGAAACATCAACTTTAGGACATTTTTGCTGTACCCCCTCCAAAAACCAGAGTATTCCACTGCGCAGGCTTAAAGGAAAGAACAATCCCAACAGCTGTCCTTGGCTTATTCTCATAACTTTTTTCTTACAGATACAGAAAAATTACAGAAAATGAGACCCTGAGCTCCCAAAAATCTGATTTAAAAAACAATTACTCTCCTAGGAGTTGTGGCAGTGAACATATTCTGTTGGGAGTTTCTGGTTTGCACTGCACTGCTAGTCTAGGGCTCATTTATAAACACGTACATAAAGTTAATGGGTTCCACTGATGGCCATCTCTCTTGACATGGTAGTGGGTTTCTTTGAGGAGCATCCCCACAATATAGCTGCCATCTCTGCAACACCAAGACTAAGGCAGAGGAAGGAATGCCCTGAGGGTGAGAATGAGGAGCATGTACCAACCTTCAGCACCGTGACATAGGGCGTCCCATCGGGTCCGTATTTGCTGCCATTGACTTCCACGTGCTTCAGCCACTGGATGTGAGGCTGGGCATCGCTGTAGACCTTGCAGTGAAACTCCACATTGCTCCCTACCACCACGGTCTGGTTGGCAGGGAGCCCTGCTTGTAGGATTGGTCGATGGGGTGACCTTTCTGAAAAACAGAAGGGAGGGAAATCCTAATTTGCCTGTCCTTCCTCCAGCAAGGATTCTCCTCCAGATCCTTCATCTCATGGCTTTTCAGCAGAAAAGCTGCAGATTGGGACTGTCCCCCAGGGTGTCCTGGCCACTGTTCTACCCTGTGCTTCTCAAGACAAACAAGGAAGAACCACCTGGGAATGGAGGAGGCATCTCAGTCCTGCCATTCCTTCTCTGGTCCCTCCGTAGAGCAGCTAAGTAACTTACTGATCACACATCTGAAGCCGAATTGTTGGCCAAAAGGAAGCGTGTTGTTGATTTTAGCAGAGACATGATCCAACACTGTGTGAAGGAAACCAAGCTCCTGCTTTTCATATCCCGTCACATGCCTGTTCAGCATCACCACAGAGCAGCTGTTGAGGGAAAGCAGTGAAATCTCACCTAATACATCAAGCTGGTACGTGTGCCTAATGTTGCCATATTTGTTCTCCACCACGCAGGTGTAATTTCCTCGATCTGACGGCACAACACTCTCCATCACTAAGCTCCACTGCTGGTGTCGCAACTAGAAGAAGAAATCAAACCATCAAGCTCGTGGTTGAGTACCATCATCATCAGACCATTCAAACCAGTAAACAATTTCCAGCATCAATGGCCATGTGTGTAGGCCTGAGGCCCAGAGTAGCCTGTGTAGGCTCTCAGGCCAAGAGTAGGCCTGAACATCACAAGGACCTATTTCAAGGGCCACGAAAGGCTTAATGTGAAAGGGAATTAAGACCAATGTGTGAACATTGCAGCACAATGAAACACGCTGAGATTATGACAGGGACTTGTAGATGCTTCCACTACAGTAACAGTAACGAAAACAGCTGAGAGCTGAATGTCAGTGACTTCAGAAGGCATCAGTTAAGATACTTCCAATCTGCTGTTCTCCTCTGCCAGACCACTCCATTCCAGAGACTGTCAGCTCAAAATGTTGTACTGTCATCTGCAGATCTTTACCAACAGCTACATATAACCCAAAGGATGACTATAAACAATAAAAATCATACTTCTTACCCCATCTGTAACGTATTTTAAAGATCTGTGCTATGGAGGCAATGGGTCATGGCATATGTCTGAACAGAAATGGGCGTCTACAACTGAGTTAGTTCCCTAAATTCCCTGTAAAAAACAGGAGAAAGCATGCCCAGCCTCAAGTGCGGTCCCTAGGATGGCTGGTCAGCCCTACTCTTTTGGCATCAAGTTTTATACTTGCTAGGTTTTCTGGACGTGGCTCATACCCAGAGCTGTTGATTCTTCAGTAGCGGAAGGGAAAGCACAACCTGTATCTCCACCCTGACCTGCTGCCCTGTGCTCCCAGCAAGAACGTTTGTTTCTTATGAGCATAAAGAAAATAACGGATCTGGAAAGCAGATCTTGAATTAATACAGAAAGCAACCAAAGCTAACAAAGATGAATTCAGGATGCACAGCGTATGAAAGCTCTCCAAATCTCTGGATATTAATTTGATGTCTTCTGCTGCCCAGAGCAGAACATTTAACTTTATTAAACATTCTGAAGGTGACTCCAGGGACACAGAAGCAGGAGATTACAATGCTGTGCTACAGAATGTCAAAGGCTGATGGAAAAAACAAGGTCGTAATTGCTCCTAGAGGTTTCTTGCTGCAGCAGGTGAACTCAAATATGAAGTCATTTAACCTCTTCTGCTACACATAAATTGCATCCACATGCTTTCCTCTAAAGGGCCAAGAACCAATTAAAGCCAGAATTTTGGAAACAGAAGGTTTAAAGTCAGAGGACTAGACAGCTTAGTTGCAAGATAAGCAAGCAAAAGCCATCTTAACAAAGCCCCTTGCTTTGTAGAGCTCTGCATCCCTGGGAACAGCACTGCTGAGCACCCCACTTTTCAGAGACCGCTGAATATAGCATTTCCTTTCATTTTGGGCTATAGAGAACAGGAGGCTGTGACCAAAAAGCCTGTACAGAAATCTTGGTTGTTGCAGATGTCTGGCCAGGTCCAACCACACTCTCTGCGCCACCAGGACAGTGCTGCTAAAGCTCAATGCAGACCCAAAATTATACCTTTTGTAAGGTAACACCCCACTTGGTGCACCTCTGTACCAGCTCAGCAATCACAGGGTGAGAGGAGCTCTGAGAACCGACAGCCTGGACCTCGAGTTCACAGCTGAACATACCAGACTGTCAAGGAAGTCTCAGTGCAAATTTGTGGCTGCTCAGTGGCTCGTTTCCATACCGGCTTGTCTCACAGTTGTGTCTAAAGACTTCTTTCAATCCACTTTTCAGCATTGTAAAGCATTTGCCTCTGGAACCCCTGCAAGCTACTCCAAGGAAATGGGGCTCCAGATTATATGAATGTCTCCCTAGTCTGAGCTGTACTATAAAATCAGGTCCGAATTAGGTGTTTTACTTACGATGCACTTTCAAAGATATTTTTATGACACTTTCTAAGAACTTCATCAGGTTTGTGATGGGGACTTTGGACTCTGAACAGAGAGAAGAACCTGGGAGGCACAGACTCATGAGGCAGAACTTGTTTGGAAACTCTTCTAGAAACAGTAAGACCTGGGGTTTTTTTAGGTTGAGACTGGCATTTAGATTTAGAGGATAATAAAAAGGGATGTTCCCAAGTTTGGATAGTCATTGCATTCGATAAAACACTAAAAACATGAAATGACTTACTGCAAGCATTAATCAAGTGGGTGAGATACTGGAATTCCCTCTCTGGATTATTTGGTGTTGTCATTCTTGGCTCCTTGTGAAACAAACATTTGCAGACACACTTGGAACCATGTTTGCCAGACTGGTATGCAAGTCAGTGCAATGGTCTGGGGAAGGGATAATCCTCTATCTCCCCTCCCCCTCCATCTTCCCTTCTAGGGTCATTTAACACACACAGGCTTACAATATTAGAGATTCCAACAAGGATTTAACCATTAATGCTCTTTGGAAAATTTCATATGATAAGTCATATGAATTTCTTTTCTCTACCTGTTAAGGATGAACTGTAACAAAACTCGATTAGCCTGGACTTCATGTTATCAACACTTGCAGACTTTACACCAGGCAATCACACAGATCTGCATGCCATTTGCAAGAGGCAGAAGTGAAAGGGTGGTCAGCTTTCATCTGCTGACCACAGATTTTTCACAATCAATGTTTAAACTCTTTGACATGCTGAAAACAAATGAGAACATTCCCAGCTGAGGGATTTCTGGGTTAAGACCAGCTCTTGAGATGAAGTAAAAGCCAACCAAACTCTGCCAGATCTGGATCTTGCCCATTCTTTTCAAGCTGCCTAATCCTGTTATGAAGTTAAGTTGTTAACAGGGAATTTCAATCCTAAATACATGAGATACCGAGCAGGTTTTCAATCTCTTTTTCTGGTTCAAATCTCAGCCGATACCTATCAGTATATTTATACTGGATGAGATTTACATTAGACTACTTACATCCAACCAGGACTCATGAGCAAAAGCAAGCAAATACGGGAACGAAAATTACAGAGAGAGAAAGATGTCTTTATACCAAGAAAGGGACAAAGAACTACACCTAGACAGATAGAGAGCTTAAACCAATCTTGCTGTAATTGGCCTGACATTGCCTTCAATAGCTCTTAAAGCATAGGCTTGTTGCTGGAAGGTGCCCCTAGAGAAACAAAGCACAGCGATGCCAACCACTCACTACCGTGTTGCAGAGGATGAAACTTGTCAATTTAAACTCAAGGATAGATTAAAACCACTGGGAAGTGGGATGGGGAATTGCTTTCAGCTTTAGATTTTATTCTGCAAGCATAATTTAGTGCAGCTGATGTCACAGTTTTGTAAAAAGCCATTCGAATGGTGCACGCAAGCCTGAAAACACTTCATGATGATCCTTACAGCCTGCAATTAATAAAAGAGCTTGCGCTTCACGAACGTTACCTGTCTTGAGGCTGTTTACCCACAGGAGCTGCTTCCCCATTTCTTTTACCTCCTTAACTTTTCAGAAGATCCAAACCTGAGCGTGTCCTCAGCCTCATCCAGGCTGGAGCAGGCTCAGGACTGAGGAGGGAGCTTCAAAGACTTCACTGAAGCAATCACAAAAGGCTCTTTCAGGAACGGGTCTGAGCTAACAGGAAAGAAAACAGCCTGAAACTGCAGGGAGGGGAGATTTTTTTGAATCTTTCCTGGTTTCTGGAGCCTGGTATGCTTTGCATGCCTAGCCCCCTTCCAAAACGCTACAGATGTGGTAGGCATCAGCACACAGCTATTCAGAGAGCTGATGGAGGCACCTTCCTAAAAATCACCTTCTCTCCTTAGCAGTAGTGCAGGGATATGCCAGGGCTGGCAGAGTACAGGCAAAAATTGTTGCTCAGGAGCCTTTCCTGTGACGCCGATTTTGTTCTAATCAGTCACTGCCAGTTTTATTCTCCCTGAATAAAACCAGAAAGGAGTCTGACTGTGACCTCAAGGGGACAAAGTAATAGCAACAACAAAAAAAATCAGGGAAAAGCTGATTTTCCTGTTAAAATCCTGCCATAATTCATCACATACAGTAGCACAGAAACTTCTGGCTAGTTAGATCATTTGAGTGCAGTGGGTTTTTGTGTCCCTTAGCTCTATCTATTAACACAAGCCAGAGCATTTTCCAGAACACCTTATGGTAGAAAGGAAGAAGGGAGAAGAAAGTAGCCAAGGCGCAGATGCTATTACTCTGGCCACAAGGGAATCCAACGCTTGACCAAAGGTCAGTGATTTATACCACAAGAATGTTAATGATCACCAGCACAACAGTCCAGCTCTTTGGTGAGGTCCTTCCTACACCTTCAAAGGATGCAGTTGGTTTTCCTTGAAAGCTGGGAGTAGGTACGGCTCAGTCCAACACATCTCAAAGCACTGGGCTGATCTCCAGAAATCGAGATGTAAGTTCTTGCTCCTGCTTTCTCATTACTGTCCATAAACCCAGCCCCGTTTCTACCTAGTCCCCAAATGACCACTACACACAAACCCTGAGGGAATTAGCCCTCAATCCCAACAGACAGCAACCCTTTTTAACACCTTGGTGTCAAGCAATTGCTAAGGCTGCCAATAACACTCCCAATCCCACACAGTTGGGACTGTGCTCTTACATGTACCAATGTTAATCGCTGTGAGACACAATTTTCTACAGTTGGTAGAAAACTCCTGATAAAAACTGCGATGCAAACCAGGGCCTTACCTTGATGCCCCCAATCCTGTGCTCTCCCTTGAACTCCTTGCCGTTTTTCAGCCAGTAGATGGAAGGAGTTGGGTTTCCACCCGCCGGACATCGGAAGCGAACGGTGTTGGCGGCAGGAACTGCCAGCAGCTTCTTTTCCATCTTATCTGGCCGGGTCCAGAAGGGGACACCTGAGAAAGGACAGATGAAGTTGAACGGGCCCATTTCTGCCGCAAAGGATATCAGCTGCTGAGCAGATGCATTTGGCATGTGCGGATTGACAGCTAAATTGCTACCTGCTGCAGTTAAGATAAATGACACAGAAACGCTTTCCAGCTAAATGACTCTCATAGACGTAGACAGGGTGTTTGCGTTTCAGGTTTGCGATGAAAGGTTCATGACCAGGCTCTTGTCTCAGTAATGCCAGTATAAATCGAGAGTAGCTGCTTTTAAATCAACAGGGAGAGTTATTCCAGATCAGGATGAGAATCTGGCCTCAGCACATAAAAAGATACAGATGTACCTCTGGGACAAAAGTAGCCAAGACGCATGAACAGCAGAGGGATGTTGGAACTGTAAAAACATGTTGATGGGCCAGCAAGGGAGCAGAGAAGAAGCGTTAGCAGAGTGCACTGGAAAATTTTGCTTTTCAGTAAGCACAAATGTAGTGCAGCCTCCTTAAAGGAAGGAAAGAAAAAAAAAGCCAGTGCCAAACTGGTTTATCGTGTTTATGTTCTTTAAGTATAAGTGATTTTAGTTTTAAAGATTCATGTTACCTTTGAACAGGGCTAAGTTTTAAAACACCAGTGTTAGCATGAGATACGTTTTCTAATCTGCCTCAAGTACAGAGAGGTTTTTGGCTGTGTTACAAACATTATATATTAACTCCAAATTAAGGCAGCAGCAGTAAACTCATTATACTGGGAAGAAAGAGAAAGTTGGTTTCTGTTTTTTTTTTAAAAAAAGCCTCTGAAGCTTTTACTTTTGCTTAAGGAAGCACTGCAGAGCTGCACATGAGGAGGTCACATCCAGCCCCCCAGCTCCATGCTCCCCACCGAGGCCAAAAGGAGATGAGAGCAGACAGCATCTGGGCCATAAAATAGCCATGAGGAGGCCAAGAAGTGTCCCCTCCAGAAGGGAAGGGAGCACCCGCAGCACAGAGCACCCAAACCCACCCATCACAAGGTTCTGTGTGCTTCTGGCCAATCCAACCTGAAGGTGCTGGTCCTTCAAGAACTGCCTTGGAGAACATGACGGCCGCTGAAGCTGTCTGGAAAGCATTGCTGTTGGCCTCTCCCACAGCAGTGACTGACAGTGCTCAGAAACACCACCCAGCCTCCCAGCCCCACCTCAGCGCTGCTCTGAAGCCTCTGCAACCTCTTTCCCCTCAATGACAAGGGCAGACAAAATTTTCCCTCTTGTTGCATCCTCCTGAAATGCACTTGAGCTGCTCCCTTTCTCCAGCACTCCCCAATGTACTCAGCCCCGATGTGTGGCTCCACAAGACCCATCTTGTTGCAACTCCAGGCAAGTCAGTGATGACACCACCTTGGTCTATGTCCCCAGTGTGCCCTGTGCAGACTCCCTGCTGCATTTCAGCTCAGAGGACTTTGCAGATCATACAGTTCAGACAAGGCAATCCACACACCCACCAATGTTTAGGAGCTGCTAACACAGTCCACATGTTCCCCTCCCACCATGGCTCCTTGGAAAGCCCACCTGGCAATGATGAACCAGCTACCTCCAGGAGGCCCTCCATTTGCTGGGTGCATTGCTCCAGTGCATTATCTGCTTTCACAGCTCTGCAGCCAACAGCTGGATGTAGGTGCCTCAGTAACGCTGTCCCAGGGAGGGAAATTCAGCATGGAGAGCTTGCATCTGTCCTCAGACTGCTTTGCACAATGTGCCGCGATGCCTGTCAGCATCAGCTCCTCGTATCAGAGAGATCTGGTGCTCACCCATGCTACGTATGCCTTTATTTTTTAAACAACGAAACTGCTTAAGGCCCTTTTCTTGCTGGGATGGCACCGGAGCAGGAGTACAGCTGGCACAAACAAAAGCAAAAGGAGAAATCTCTGCAATTCCCAGGCTTCTGCAAAACTCTGGCTACAGCAAACTTCACTGTGAACACACAGCACGTCCAGGAGAGGCCTCAAATGCTACAGGATAACGGAGGCTAAAGCGGGACATCATATAACTATCAAACTTTCACTATGTAAGCTTAGAAAAATGGAAAAGAACTGCATAAAAATGGGCAGAACAGTCAAAAAAAATACTAGAAGAGTGAGTGCAACCCATAGAGGAAGAGCAGATCTTGATGGTAAAGGAAGATGCTGCTATTGCATGCTTTGGGAAGTGCAGAGAGCAAGCAAAGGCTGGGCAAAAGCCCAGGCAGCAGCAGGGGGGTGAATCTGGAGGAGGATGTTGGGATAGTGTTGGGAAGGCTGGAGAGGAGGGAGCTGCAGAAACCATGTTGGGAGACATCTGGTCCTTGGTTTCTGTTTTCTGGCCAAACACTTCCTTTTGGCAATGCACCCCAATTTCCCAGGGACTTTACAAGATGGCAACAGGGCTAGGTGGGAGAGTTCAGGGAAAGGCCAGGCACACATGGAAAAGTCTCACTTTGCCACAGCAAAGAAGGGCAGCCAAATAACCTGCTGTTTGATTAACACACCTGCCTACAATAAATCCCATTTTGTGGCACTGGTGACACTCACTTGGACACGGAGTTATAACTAGATTGCACGACTGCCCTAGCAAAACTGGGCTCCTTCCTGCATTGTGCTTTTGGGGTGTTTTCCCCTTTCCACACCAGCTGTGTGTGCTGCAGGATGACTTTCCACCACTCTTTCTCACTCAAAAGACGAATCTGAATCTCACAGGAGACCCACCAACTGCAAATTTTGCCATGAAAGCTAAGGGGGTTTTTGCCATTGGACATCAAAGAGGAGCAAGACGGGGCCCAGGAAAGTTTCCAGCTGGGGATATTCTCCATACGAAGCAAATGCAGGATCCGCTCCTCCATCCTGCAATTAGACATGGCTTCTTCCCTGAGCACCTCCCCTCCATTTGGGTGTTCATCTGTGCATATTGGGGCATACCAGGGCTGGGCACTCCTGCATTAACGTGCCAAGATTCAAACACCCAGGGTACCGCTCTCAAGTCAAACTGGAACTGGAAGAAAGCGTCCTCGCATTGAAAACGGTGCCTTTGTCCTCGCTTGCAGGAGCAGTGAACAAAACATCACTGCTTTTGGTTTGCTGTGCCCCAGAGTCCTTTCACTGCTGCTTTTTAAGAGGGTGAAAATGTTGCTAACTCTTCTTTTCAAGGAAAGCTCGCAAAGCTCCAGAGTTTCAGGAGCAAGGAAGGAGGAAGGATGAAAGGCAGGAAAAATTTCTAGACCCGCTCTCTCCAAATTAATTACGAGTCATGATTTTGCATGCGCAGGTGTGGAAAAAAGGGACCAGCAAACATTATCACTGGCCCTTTCCCATCATCAAACACTAAGCCCAACGGTCCCGTTTTGTTCGTCAAAGACACCGGCCACCCATCCGACTGGAATGACCAATTAAAAAACAACCGAGAGCGATACTTGGAATAATTAATACAGCCGAGCGCTCATTTAGCAATTAGGAGCTGCCACAAAATTGTGCAGCAGACAGAATCAACCCTAATTGTGTAATTTCCCCAGCTGACGCCTCCGAGTACACAGCCAGATTTAATTGGAGATTATAGGGGCTCTTTGAAGGTGCTGGGGCTACGCAGCGGGGGCTCCAAACAAACAGATACGGAGGGGTGGGGAGCACTGGGGCAGAAGAGCAGTGTGTGAAAAGGGAGTTCTGGTTTTGTTTCAGGGCCAGGAAAAACAGCTGTAGAGAACAGAGGTATTGGAAAGCCTCTTTTTTTTTTGTTTTTTTGTTTGTGACAAGGCTGCAACCAACGGGACGATGATTTGAAGCTGCTCAAGTTCCTCTTTCCTTTCTGCCGCCCATCCCTAAGGGATGCCCCGTTTCTGTGCTGCCCTTCGGAGAGGATGCTTAAGGGAAGGTGAGCAGAGCAGGGCACTCTACATGGAGGGCCTATCTCTGTGCTCTTCCAAGGGTTTTGCACCAAATATCCATTTCTTTTAGGACAGATTTCTTCTTGTTCTCTTGCTTTGGTATTTCCAGCTCCTGTCATTCAAAGATTTTGGGTTAGAACCCCAAAATTAACAAGACTGGCTTCAAACTCATGATGCTCATCAGATCTCCAAGCTTTTCTCTAAATATGAGGATAAAAAACTCTCTTGAGCAACACGAGTAAGCCAGAAAATTAATTTATCACTGCAAGAGGCCAGGAGACAAGGTTTTATTCAGTGGTGTGCAACATGGCAACATGCAATGAATCAGATCCTGGTTGGATTACCTCTCCCTAAGTATGAATAACTATCTGCTATATTTTAATTTTCCACAGAAGCATGTTTACTGTCTTCACTCCTCTAACTACTGACCATAGCTATGTCTCATGGCCATGCAGGGCCTCACACACCCCATTAGTAGGCTATCTTTTTGCCACAAGATATGGAGTACACAGGTCTTTGGGCTGCCCATAGGACATGGCACTGGCTACACCCATGTGCCCACCTGCCCAGGATGGTCCTACAGCCACTGTCCCTGATGGGACGTCCCAGTGCTGGCAGTGCTGGGGTTAACAACAGAGCTCCCCAGACTCAAGAGAAGACCGGTGAAGGTTAACTGGAGGGTTTGATGTCAAAGCAAGCAACATCCATGTCATGGCACGCCATGACACATTAAGCTAATCAACCGTTCTTACAGCAGAAGAGAATCCAGCTTTTTATAATGAGACCTTTAAGCAAAGCCAGTGGTTACCTTTGGGTCTATAAAAGGAGACAGCCTTGAAGTCAAGAAGACCCAGAATGCAGGCTATAAATACATGTGGTGAAACGTGTGTTTTCCTTCTCAGTAAAGAAAAATGTGTCTTTCTGTACCATAAACCAGCTGATGTTTTGTGATACCTGTTGCTAAGAGATGGAGTTTACTACAAACCACATAAAAAAAATGCACAGAACGATTAATTGTGCTCATCAGAAGCTGTTCTGCAGCAGGAACAAATCCTGACCAAACCCAACCCTCCCTGTGCCTCTACCAGGCTTCAGCAGACACCAGGAGCTCTGACCATCTCTGCAGAGGTGCTTGCCACCTCACAGGATCCAGCCCTTAATTAGAAGCTACCAGAAAACCACTGACTGCTGCTGATGGGTTGCCTGGCACCATAACTCACCATTACCATCCACACACTGCACGACACAGCAGGACAAATGTATTACAGTGGGAGACCTGTTTTAAAGAGTCCTGCGTATCCAAATGCTATGGGCAGGAGAAATTTTCCAGTCATGTTGAACTTCTGCCAATGTACATAGCTGATTGGGAGTTCAAATGCAAGACATTTATTTATTAAAAATACACACGCACAGGCAGCTCGCTTTGCAGAAATATAAAGAGCATAATAAAATACAACACTAACGCCTCTGAAGCATGTAATGATCCTGATTAACGCTATTGCTCTTAAAGAAACAAGCACTGAGCTTGAAAGGGATTCAGTGTAAAAGCACTGAGAGGCTCTGTCCTGGGGCTCCTTTCCCCAAGTGAGTGAAAGAAAGAGCCAGTAAAGCCAAAGGCGTTGCTGTTGCTTACGGCATCAGTGAATTTGGCCCTTGGCTAGCATAAAATTTATGCTCTGCCTCCAGTCAAGATGCTGGTAAGGACCAGAATCAAACTGGCTAAAAATAAAACAGGCTAAAGGTTTGCAATGGTGTTAAACTGGGGTCATGTCAGTGTAGTAAAAAGAACCAAACCCAGCGATAGAGTGGGCTTGTCTGAATTAATTTGTAACTGTAGCTCATCATGTCAGATTTGCAGAGTCAAGCCTCAAAATCAAAATCCCACTACTGCTGCTGTAGGATGCTGTAGCAGCGACATCACTCTGGCAGCCGTTTCTAAATTTCTGCATAAACATCGTCATGGTACCAGGTCCAGAGCATTTGCAGTCCCCATCCTAAGGCCACTGATTTCAACACGGATGAAGACCTACAGTCTGAACAGCCAGATGAGCTGCTCCACTCGGGAGCAACATCTATTTAAAAGAAAAGGCCTCTGTATCCCAGAGAAAACAAATTACCTGTATCTTCTGACTCATCGTCATCATCTTCATCATCACCCGACGAAGGGGAATCTAGGAGGAGAAGGAGAAAGAAGTGAAGCAGAAAGAGGACGGCACACGGGGACACCACGCTGGATGAGGCTGCCAGTGCCACAGTGGACTCCAGCGAGGGAGGACATCCAAGTGATGGGTCACCCTTCCCTGCAGCTCCACCAGCCTGTCCCTGTCACGCTGCTGGGCCAGGGAACAACCGGCCAGGAGCTTTCTGAACTGGGACAGAGCTGTCATGAGTTTGCCAGTGCTCTGCCACCAGAGACTGGGGATCCAATGCCAAACACTTCTCTCTGTGTGAGTGCTCTTCTCCTCACAAATACAGCAGCATTTCCAAAAGGGGAAGTTTCTTTCTGCAGAACAAGCTTTTCCCTGTACCGTTTACTCTGAAGACTTGTTATTTCACCAACTCTCAAAGTGACAGGTCAGCATTTCTAATTCACTTTCCCTGCATTTGTCTTTGAACTCAGTGCAGCGCTACCACTTCTCCCCTCATTAACTCCTTGCTGAACCACTCAGACCAAAGCTTTTAAAACCACTCCTTGCAAGCAAACCTCTCTCTCAGTAGACATTTGGACGGCTACTCCGTGAACCAGTTCCCTCTTACATTCCTCCTACAGAGGCACTTCGAGGTTGTAGCTCAATACAAGTTAACAGGTGGAACTTTTCCATCTGTATTTCTCCAAAATATCCAGTACTATTTCTCTTAATCTGGTCTAACATCTCTCCTTCTCCAAGCTGTCCACAATGAAATCTCAGTCCCTCTTCCCTCCACCAAATGACTACTGTAAATGTAAATCCCATGATAAAATAGCAGCTTAGTGTTTGATTTAGTTTACATGATTTAGTACAATTCAGTGTCTGGAAGATTTAGCATCACTGACTTTATATAATCTCCAGGAATTTCTTTTTTAAATAATGGCAAAATGCTAACAACGCAGCAGCCTTTGTATTCTCAGACAGTGGTAAGATAACTTGGCCTTAAACACTATAAAGTAGGAAACTTTAGTGCATTTTGAATAGTGTTCAACACCTGGCCAGGATTGTAAAGCACTGATTTAGACCAAGACAGGCGGAACCTCCTTCTTGAGTCTTCTGCAATTCTCTGGACCAGCTCAGTGATACAAAGCATGGAGGTAAAAATGAAAAAGTAAAAAAATAACCCAAAAACAAACCCCAAAAAAAGAGAGGGAAAAGAGAGGGAAAAGGTAACAACAAATATTACTTCTCTGCAAAGTCCGGAAGGACTTTGCAGAAATATCCCCCATCTACAGAAGTAGGTAACACAGGGATTATCTCCCTGCTTTTGACTGTCGTGATGCATCATGCTTTGCACCCTCTCCTTGGCAAAGTTTCAAGGAAGGCTTCAAGCAGGTCTAACAGCAAATCCACGGCTGAGGCCCTGCTGGCAGCAGAACGAGGGAAATGCCACGGGGCTTGCTGAAAGTGAAGGGGATGTTTAGGTGTTACGGCTGAACCAGCAGGTTTACTCAAGTCCTGGCAAAGGCAGAAACCGAGCCAAATCCCCACCAGCATCGACAGAGAAACCAGCACATTCTCAGCCCTTGGATTTGGTTACCCATTTATTAACATGTGATTATAGTTTACTACTGGTTTCCAATGAACCAATCATTACCAGAAGAGCAGAATCAAGTTTTAAACCAATTCAAAAACATTTCCACAAGACTGAGGGAAGAGTCTTTGACTTTGCTTGTGTTTCACATGAGAGCTGCAGCATAGGCTTTAAGACCAAATCTCCCATGTTCAGATCTATTCAGGTTACCAGAACATCACCTTTTCCAAAAGTGACTAAAAATTTGTACGCTATTTATTAATCTTTTACCAAAATAGCAATCCTTTTCAGAAGCTGACGAGTATTGGCATCAGCAAGAACTGCTGGATGCTATGCTCAGAAAGGGCTTTAATTATGAATTAATAATTAATTCTGAAAGGGGCTTCATTTTTTTAGTCACGTGTTTTGAATAACTTAGTCTTTAGTATTTTGAAAGCTCTTTTCGATGGTCTGAGCCTACAGTCCACGCTCATCACAGGGATGCTGCTTGGCCGCTAAATGCGAACGCTGTTCTGTGCCTGAAATGATTGCAGAAATGGAGCTTCTGCCAACAGGGCTGGAGCTCAGTTGGGGCACGCAGCCTCTATTTGTGATCCTCTTCAAGTGCTCACGTTTTTAAAGGACAGCATGTTTCTTTTTGTCCACTAGCAAAGCACTCAAGCCCATGTCTGTCAAAAGAGGCATTTTAAAGATATCAAACCCTGCTATTAATCAGCCTGGTTTTCAACCCTGAAATGCCAGCTCCAGCATCTCCCTGCTCTACCCTCAGCATCAAGGATCTCACTGGGCACACCAAGTTGCTGCAGAAAAGCCAATTTGTTGCAGACTCAGAGCTTCAGGAAAATCCTGATATGCTCCTAGAATCTGAAAGCATCTCTCAAAATAGGACTTAGTGTATATTCTGAATATACATAGCCTAGTTTTGCTCACCTATGAGTCCCAATCCGAGCAATTCCAGTTTGTCAGTACAGACTCAAACCACTTAAACGCGGAGAACAACTCCAGCCCCGAGCATCAGGTATCCACATGAACACCTGAGCTAATCGCTGGCATTACCTTTAAGAAGTGGGAACACAAACCACAGATCTCCGATAACAATCTCATCTCCGTAGTGCCACGCTGAGCAATCAATACTCATTATGAAGAAATATCTGAGCATACGAGAGGCGCCACTATTGCCACACAAAGCAGCGCTTCAAAGTTTCAAACAAGCGCTGCTGACAGCTAAAACGGAGACTCCCACATTACCAGCACTTTGGTGGTAATGACAGTGGGCTAATAGAATCAAAGACTCATAATGCTGTCAGAAAGCAGGTTCAGGTTACTCGCTTGTTCTTAAGCTCTTATTAGCTATTATTAGCGAAGACGAAAAACACAGGGGCTTAAACTTTTTAAAGCGGAGGATTATCAGCTCTTACACTATTAAAAACAATTTCTCACTTTACGAACTTTTGGGGCTGGCAGCTGTTTCATTTGAGCGCGTAACCAGCTGCCCTCTTCTGTCTCCCTGCTGCCCCTTGAACTCAAAAGCATTTTAATGTCACTTAAAAAAAAAAAAAAGAGTAAATTTTCTAACAACCTGCAGTCCCTTGGATAGTTCCAATAATCATACCTAGTTAAAGAAGGCCTTTCAAGGGCCAAATACTTCTTTAACCATTTAATTGATATGACCTTGAAGCATTCACAGCAATCTCCAGTAACATTCAATGAAAAGCAGATGTTGGTCAAGACTTGCTGAAACGAGCTATTATTCTCACGATGGTTTGATTCTCTCACACAAAATCCTGTTTCTGGCATGAGAAAGCTCTTTACGGAGTGGATGTGATTCACAATCACAAACATCTCTGTGTTTGGTTTTCAGACAGACCCTCTCACTTTTTGAGCGAACTCAACTTAGGCAAGGACCTACTGTTTGGAGATGCTTGAAAAAGCTCCAGCAGCTCAAGGGCAAAGTAAAGTTTTCAAAACCTTCGATCCACAAGGGGTTAATTCTTCTGGAAATTCAGGTTTTAATCTGTGTGATCAGGAGGCTTTCTATCTGCAAACAGTGATGAGTACCCATCATGGAGATGCCCTCAGCATTAGTGGTTAGCTACCTGGGAGCAACAGATTTTTCTGGGATCCTCTGTTTAGTGATCCAGGCTTGGACAGCTTGTAGCTGTTCTGTCCTATGGTCCTAATCCCAGAAAACATGGCCAAGCACATGACAGCCTGTGCTTTGCTAGCACACCACTTGTTTGCCATATATGAATTCCAACAAGTACCTTTGATGAAGCACATATTTGAGATACACAGAGTTTGCAGATAAGCTACCTCTGAAACAAAGTAGTAATTTGTGATAAGCAGCATGGAGGGAAGAGATTTATCAGCTACAACGGGGACGGGGAAACAGTTCACAAGAACTTCCAGCTTTAACATGCAATTTTGCCACTGATTTGTCATGTAAAGTGGAAAAAGTCACTTAACCTCCCCGAGCCACAGTTCACTCACTCACAAAAGACTTCAAAGGCACATGTAGCATCGCATCTATTTGAGTGTTAAGGGGGATTTGGGGTTTAATCTGACTAGCACAGTTTCTAAGTCTCTCTCAGTATTAACATCAAGCTTTAACATTTGGTATGGACATGCAAGCATTCTTCGATGGGTTTGGTTTGTCAGCCTAATCACTGCCAGGAGCTAGCAGGGAGGTGAAGACCTACCCAAGTGCAGAACATCACAAAGCACCAGTTGTGCTGAGTAAGTGAAGGGGCAAAAATTAAAAACGTAATTTAAAAAAAATCACCGAGACAGCTGTATTTCTGCACATACCTGTAACTCTGACTGTAAAGTTTCCCAGGACCTCATTGGAATGCCTTGGCTTGCAACTGTACAGCCCTGAGTCATCATAGGACACATTGATTATCTTCAACAGTTTTTGTCCAATATGAGTTCTGTTGGTAGGTGCAATCCCAATACCATCTTTAAACCAGAAAACAGACACAGAAGAGCCTTGGGTGTTACAGGAAAGTTCAATGGTATCTCCACTTCCAAACACCAACTCTTCCAGAAAGGCAGTCTCGCTCCTCAAGTATTCTGCAAAGGGAAAAGGAAATGAAAATGAGTAAATAAAAGCAAGTGCCACAGAATGAAAGAGCATTTTAAAAAGATCTGTATCTTATATTTGCCCTACTGATACTTCTATGAACCCTCCCTATGAACCCTAAGAGCTCCTCCTTACCAGAGGTAAGGCCTGTCTGCCCCAGGCAGGTAGCAACGCAGAAACACAGTCAGGTCTCTGGCTGATCTACAGGGATGGTTTCAACCCCATAGTAACCAAAACACAGCCACCCAACACGTGCATCACAACACACAGCAGAGACCTCTAGGGAGGGTCACTGTTGCGTGTGGAGGTGATCTGGCAGAAGCAAGTACATGTGCTGTGAAGTTCACAGTTCAGTCCCTGGATCTTGATTTCTTTATTCCTGCCAATCTGTCCACAACCCCTGTAAGACCCTGCAAGGGGCAGAAATGGGGATAAACCAAATTTCAAAAGTGACTGAGTAGCCCAAAGGCAACCTCTGTGGACTGAAGAAAGGAGAAGGCTGGGCAGAAGATGCAGGCTGGAACAGCTAATATAAATGAACTCATTCCTAGCTTGCTGGAGACTGAGTAGTCCAAAGGCAACCTCTGTGGACTGAAGGAAAGAAGGGAGAAGGCTGGGCAGAAGATGCAGGCTGGAATAGCTAAAATAAATGAACTCATTTCTAGCTTGCTGGAGTTACTCTGCCACAAACAAGTGCAGAACCAAAGACTGAGCACAAAAGCCAAAATCCCTATTTCTTCAGTCTACCTACCAGCTATGGCAGTTTGCTCCATGAGTGATGACAACCAACCCTACCACGGGCTGGAGAATTCTGCTTTACCATTGGATAGTAACGCAAGGAAAGGTTCAAGCTGTGAAGTCTCCTCACGGAGGTATGTGGGGCATTTTGAAAGTGTGGTTCCTGCATCCAACAGTCCTCAGGCTCATTTTTGGGACATATGAACTCACTCTTGACATTGAATGGTTTATTCATCCCTTATACCAGTTTAATAAAGAGGAATTAGCCCTCTAGAGCTGCCCTCAACCCAACCAGATCAGCATCAGGATTCCATTGACATCACCTTGTCTGTGCTAACCAACATTTTCGTGGCATTGCCCTATCTCTGTCTTCTGGCTTACAACAGCTCTGAGACTGTACATTCCACCAGGCCTAGCAGTAGTCTTGGTTTTGTATAATATGTATCATGGGGGATCCTGTTCCATGGCAAAGACACTTTGGTGCTATGCTCATATAATTAACAAGTACAAAGTAATTCAAAACAGATCAGTCTGAACCTCACCCCATGATCCAAGCCCAGATGGCCTTACTTGATCTCTGATAATAATCGGATATGGACAGAGATCCTCAATTTGCAGCTTAGGCATATTCATAATTACAATTTGACTGTGAAACCAGTGCAATTACAGCAGCTCTGAATACCCAGGGATGTGGCATCGGCTTCAAGCTGCTCTTCTGCCATTCAGTGAGAGCAGGAGCAGGTTATAGGAGAAAAATGTATTGCTTTTCTCTTCTTGTCATGCAAGTATTTATTCTTGTGGGAATTTAAAAATATAAAAATGTTTCAGTCAATTGCCTTGCAGAGTAAAAATGAAGAATCCTGGAGACCTGAAAATGTGGTATTTCATGGGAGGTATGGTCTCACAGGAGGCAAAGCCCACACTCACTGGAGTCATTACAAAGAACCTTTCCTCTGACACCCTGGCAGAAGTTCCAACTCAAATATTTCAGGTTTAGGCCAGAATTCTGTGGTATTCATACAGCCAAAAGTTTAAAGTTTGTTGTTTTTTTTTTCTTTTAATGAAAAGGTTTTCTCTGAAAGCATGTACTTTTAGTAAAAAGAGAAAGAAGACAGAGCTCCAGCATCTTCTTCCCATTCAAGCAGCATCTGTAGCGACATCGAATGTTCACCCATGGTCTACTCCCAACTGGGATATATCCTTGGGCAAATACGGCTGAGAAGTATTTTGGTTTAACTGTTCCTTTCAGGGTTTTTTTCCTTCCTTCTTCTAGACTATAAGGATTTTTTCAATGGTACCAACTTTGGTTTCCAGCTAAAAAGCCCTGTATACAGCTCTGCCCTTGCAGGACTGGGTGCTGATCTTAGTTGACTCTGATGGAAGCTCTTGCTAGTGCAACCTACTGGAAAACAAACCCCATGCAGCTGCACAATTCCTCCATACAAAATACACACTTTTACCCAAGCTGTTTGCCAAATGATCAAGACTTGTGTATTTTGGCTTTTATATCACAAACCTACCAAACAGGAACAAGCCCAGACAGAGCACAAGCCAAACCGTACTGTTTAGCTATTTAAAAGGAAGTTACTTTTTTCTGAAAGCCATAATGAACCTGGGCTAATGACAAAGCAACAAACTATCTTTATAAAACATGATTAGGGAATGCTGAAGCGAAGAGCAAATTTACTTCAGACTCGGAGCAGAAGGATTGGGGTCTGAAGCATCTTCTGTGGAAAGAAGCATCATCTCTTATTTCTCATAACTTTATTTTGGCATCTCTACCCTCCATCTACCCAGCTGGTCTCCAGCAGATATCCTGATGCCTGTTAAATGCAAACTTCAGTCCTAGTGACTTTATTCCTATTGAATGGGATAATATCTGGAAAGATGGAGTAGTGAATTAAAAGGAGATTGTTACTAATGGTTTTAATTCCACTACTTTAATCAGTTTTTCAAATTTCAGTTTATATGCCTATGGCTTAAAAAAAAACCCAAAAAACAACAGGATCCAAATTGGAGACCTCCATGAAGTACCGGGTGCCCTGAGCCCCCTTCCCACCTTTCAGCTGCAAGTGCCTCATGTTTCCAGCACCGTCTCAGCATGAAGGACAGCTTCACCAAGATATGAAAGACACATGAAGTTGCCCTTCCTGAGGTCAAGCAACCAGCCATCAGATTGATTTGCACTACATCTCCAACCATGTTGTATGAACGAAGTGACAGGAGCTGTGTGAGGCAGGTTTCCACATTTACTGGGGCTACCAACACACATCTCCTGGATCTCACACCTAGGACCCTACGAAAACCATCCTCACTGCTGGCTATCCCCACACATCCTTTAAAAACTTCCCTAAAGTGCTTCAAGTTGCAAAGGTCCCTCCCGGCTCTCCCAAAGGAAACTACCATTTGGGATCTAACTGACACTAACAGCATCTTTTCAAAATCCACAGCAGACAAAGGTATAAATTACTGGGAAGTTAACTCGTGTAGAGGTTACAGGAGTCCACTCCACCACTTGCCAGCAGAACAGGGATTAATGAGCTTGCAGCTTTAATGGGTTCTTAGAGGAGGAGGCAATCCAGGTTGTAGGCTCCCAAGACATGCCTAAAATTCAACCATTTATTAGTTTAGCCAAAGCAGTAATGAGTTAAGAATCACCAAGAGACGCTTCTGATGGAGATGAGCACTCAGAGCATCGTTGCTGCTGCTTGCAGCAAACATGTTATGGAGGAAAAGGCAGTTTTCAAGCTGTTCAGAAAAGCACAAAGGCAGCAGCTAGCTGAGAAGCACCTTCCACAGCGAGGAGCAGCTGGCCCAGCAATGCTAAAATGCTTTTGTATGTATTCACTTATAAGGATAAGATACTTCAGCTCTGTTGCTGCTTGGCTCATCCCAGCAATAATTCACTTTCTGTGTGGTTCGCAGCTCCAAGTGCTTAAGCGTGTCAGTATTTCCATCAGATGTCTGCTCCTCTTAGACATCAATGCTTGTTTCTGGCTGAGTCTGGAAATGTTTTATTTTGGTTTTAACGCAGGCAGCTCTCAAGAACTGCATGAGGATAAGTAGTCTTTCATTATTCAGGCCTGAAAGGATGAGGAGGTGGAGGGTGTTGGGATATTTCTGGGCTGCTTATGGCCATGCTTAATGACCGTCATCCTCCTCCTCCAGTGAGCATCCTACAGCCAGGGCACATTCCCATACAACCAAAAACCCACCACAGAGGGCTTGAGGCACACGACCTTCAGTGCCACCAGCAAAATATTCCTCACCCCACCCTGAACCCTGGCAATCCCAGAGAGGCTTTTTGGGATTGCTTCACAGCCCAGTGGTGTAGTGGACTAAGCAGCTCATTTGTAAGTGGACATACTTTCCCCTTTTCAAGCTGGACAAGCTGCATTTGGCACGTTAACAAGCAGAAAGATAGCAGCACTCCACGCACTGCTGGAAACGTTTCTTGTTCTGTGTATTTTATTGCACCAAATCCACCGTGACAGAATACATTATAGTATCACGGAGCAACAACCATGCCAAAGCTTTCTCCTGTTGAGTGTGGTATCCTGTTCCCAGGGGGACCATGGCCACAGCCAGCGAGTTGGTGGCTACCTGCTGGAGGGATATGGAAACCTCCAGCATTGGTGGTATGAACGAGGCCATGACAGCAAAGACCACGTAGACCATCTCCAGGCTCAGACCATCACTGTCTCCCCTAAGTGGGGTCAGCCTTGGCTAAGTAAGTGTCCCACCTGTATTAACAGGGTCCCAGGGCATTATTCACCCCATACAACAGTGTTTTTCCCAATACCTGTGGTCACTGCTTATGGGATGCGGCTGCTTCTCACCTTACCTTGGGACTTCTGCACTGGGAAAGGCAAACACCACTGCTCAGAAGGGAAATAAAATACTTTTCTTGCTGAACGCTGCTTATCTGGGACTTGCCTTAGTTTAAAAAGCAGCCAGGAGGGGGTAACAAGCAATCCCAGTGTCACTCCCTCGTGAGCACCCTGCCATGTCCCTGCTCCATCTCCCCAGAGAGACAGACGGACTCCAAGGGGCACACTGAAAACCACAAACCGGCCCCAGCCCTGTACGCAGCAGCAGCCTCCATGAGAGATGGGCACGACAAGATCATGGGATCGTACCTGCCTTGTACAGGTAAGATCAAGGGGGAACAGACCCCTCCCTCAGCAAAGCAAGTTCACCTAAAGTCACCACGTACCTTCACAGCACTGGGGAGCTGCTGGGGTATTTTTTA